GGTACGTTAACGGATTTTCTCCTATGCATTTACACCGACTTGCGCCCCGTCCTGATAGGAGATGCACAGTGTCCAAAAAAATTGCCGAAACCAGTGATTGAACCGCATTTTTTTTTCAAAAATGATTCTAGCTGCGAACAATGAACCTCAAAACGAGGTGCAATTGCAAGGTTTGGAGATGTGTCAGACAAAAAAATCACGGTATTGAAACATATGATCCCTTGAACAGGCTCACAATGTCATGACAATGGCTGATTGAAACCAGTTTGAAACGATTTAAAGCTTTCTTCGAAATGTGGTGATCATGTTTTAGAAGTTCCTCCTTGGGTCAGTCATGTTCAGGTTGGTTTGATGTTTTTGTTTGTGTTTCCTCACGTTTGCCGTTATGTTTCGCTTACCGTTTCGGTTCAACATTACATTGAGAACATATGCAAGTGTAGGATAAATATGTGAAAACAAAAACGCGCATTGTTTCATAGAATGCGGCCGTGGCAACATGTGATTGCGATCCCGTTTAAAAACAGGCACCCACACGGGCAACAACCATCAACAAATCCCAAAATTTAACTCTATCGGGAAAGGAACAAAAAAGGGGGGGAATCGGTGCGATCCTACGCACGTGCAAACCTAGAAACTTTCAATTCAACTTTCTGTAAACAAGGTGCATGCAAACGGGCGCAATTCTTTTTACTCCTGAGACTGAGCTCCAAGGTTGTGTGTGTGAGTCAGGCCCGGATTTTTCTTATTGCGAAACCGGAAGGTGCAGCACGGACCTTTTTGCTTGATCCACAGGGCCTACAGTAGTGAATGCATTTTGCATCAACTGTCTTTCCCAAATGTGCAATCCTACAACTGCAATTCCATGAAGTGTCATCCTTGCGCAGGGGCCATGCATGGACATGAGTACTCTGCCAAATGTTTCGGACTCCTCCTTGGGAATGTGGAGCATTCAGATTTCATTCCCACTCCATTTTGGCACGGCTGCTGCGCACAGACTTCAATGGAAATTCCCATTTGGGATTATTTTGGTCCTAGTGGCATTATGGTAACGGGGAGTTGCCACTATTCCCCGGCACGAAAAAGTTTGCCTTTGGCAAAGATGGCATTCTGGTTACGGGGAGTTGCCATCATTCCCCGGCATGAAAATTTTCTTTGGACCTATGTTGCATTACAGGCCAGCTCTCTGAGTTGGTTCACATACTGTCCATACCTCTCTGACAGATTGGCGTCGGTCACTGCATGGCGGTCAGCCATGACCTGAAGATCAGCAGCTAATGCGTAGAACAACTGCTGTTTCAGTTCTGCTGGCACCGGCTGATACTGGTTCACCAAATCTAAAACCTGCATCACACCTCTTTGGAAAACAGCTGCATCACTCCATTGCTCTCTGCGTAAGCAATCGTTCAGCTCATTTCTAAATGTCATTGTGACCTGGGTGAGCTCTGGAGTGTCATCAGGTTCAACTGGACGATCAAAAACGGGTGCTTCTTCCTCTGCAGTCTCTTGCGCATGTTGTTCCATGTCAGTATCATCACCTCCATGAACTATGCCTTGATTTTGGGTTCGAACAACATTCAAATAACGTTGCATCCCCATTGTTCTCGCTGCAATCAAGTTTGCCCGTTCCAGTCCATACATCTGTTGGCGCTGCATAGGTGTGAGGCCATGGAAATTGGTGTAACCTCCCATATTTATCAACCCCCATTGGATATTCTCAGCAGAGTCTGACACCATTTCAATCTTGCCAGAGAGTTCTGTGTGTCCTTCACGCAAACGTCTCATATCTGTTTCCATCTGCGCAACTTTCCTTTCCAAAATTGTCACAGCTGAAGACATGATGGCGTACTGCGTGTACACATGATCGAAGCTTGTGTAGGCGTCATTTGCAAATCCATCCCCAGAAAGCTAACACTGCCAAAACCAAAACGCTGCACATCATGATGAACATCCATGAGTAACCTTCGCTTTGAACATGATTGGGCTCGATCTTGCATTGGTTGGCTTCATAGATGTCGCTCTCACCAAGGGGCATCGCTGTTGCTCCTTGCAAAGGCTCAAGGCCGATGAAAACAATCACTCTTGCAATGTTCTTGGCCAGTGCATTGATTTGCTTTCCGCTGGAATACTTTGAAAATTGCATCTCATACTCCTCCTGGCCAATGGTTTGACAACCTTCTGCACGTGCCATTCCGATGCAATGCAATAACATCTGAACGCGTTTGCTTGCTAAAGGCTTGGTCCCAGCATCGGCAACATTCCACAAAGTTGGTACCTGTGTCAGTTGTACTTTACCTTCATGCACAACTTGCTGAATCCACAAAAGTTTCCCCGACACATGTTTCAACCGACCTGGTCCTTGTCGCATGGCAACTTGTCTTGCAGAAGAGGAGTCCACCAATAGGTGGTGTTCAACCTGACAGCCAGTGAGAAATTCAATGCAACGACGCAAGTAGATTCCATCGCAAAGTGCAGAAACCATAGAGTGCAACTCACTCTCACATGAGCTCAGGCTCACAACACCTTGAGTTCTGCTGCTTGCAAAAAGAAATCCGCCATTCAATGTATGAACCCCACAGCTTGTCGATCTTCTGTGTTGTTTGTTTCCACTCCAGTCTGAATCACTGAATGTTTCAATCATCCAAAATCGCTCAGAGCTCTTCCATTTTCCTTGACCTCCAATTGGCTTTTCCAAAACCATGCAAATGTCACTTGTTGTTTTCAAATAACCAATCACCTTTCGAAGCCTAGAGATTGCTGTCAAAGTTGGACGGCTCATTGCACTGCTGAGCTCCTTGACAACAAAAAGTAGGTCTGGGCGGTCTCTTGCAAGGTAAAGGAGGGTACCTATCACAGCTCGAAAAGCATGGGCATCTCTTTGACCAACTTCCTCGCTGACATCCTCTGTTTGGATCGAGGCGTCACAGGCAATTGTTTGGGGTCTGGCTTTTCCAAAGTTCTCCTCAAATAACTCAATCACCTTTGAGGCTTTTGTACCTGGAATGAGAGCCAGTCCATCTTCCAACGTTTTGATTCTGCGTTTCAGGAAACTGATCTCGCTTCCAATGCCCTGCAACTGTGAATGGCTTATGTTGTAGTGCTCCTTGAGCTTCTTCAGAAAAACATTTTCCCAATACCAACCATCACCACAAAACATGACATCGTCAACATGAACCATCACGCAGCAATGACTGTTCTTTGCCATGCATGGTTGCTCAATACACCAATGCATGTCCAAGTGCTTGTTGAGAAAATCCCTAAAACTCCAGTACCACATCTTTGCTCCTAGGCGTTGACCTGGTACGTTCTTCTTCACTCGGTACAGCTTGTTGTGTAAGCTGACAGCCATTGGTTTCTCTTGATCAACCATGAGAAATGCGTCCTTGATGTCCACCGTCCCCAAAACCACAGGGTGCTTTCCAGTTTGCTGTTCAGTTGAAGTTGCATCACCCAACTTTTGCAAGTAGATCATAGGCAGTATGTTCAGGATATGTGTGCTTGTAGCGGGTGAGTAGGTGTCACTGCGTCGCTCCAAGAATGAAAACTCTCGTGCAACAAGGCGTGATCACCGCAACCATTTCTTGCATGAAGTCCCATCTTGGAAAAAGAAGTCTTTGATCCTCAGTCGTCGATAGACAACTTCGTTGGGAAGATAGCTCATTCTTGACAGTCACCTTCTTCAAGCCACATTCATCCATAAAGCACCGAAGCCCTCTTACAAGTCAGAAAAACGATACAAATCCATGGTTCACGAGCGACTTCTGCGTTGAATGTAATTGGGCACAGTAGACCATGCTCCTCTAGCGATTTTCAAACCAAGAATTTATCCCTCTCCAAAGTCATTTCAAATTTAATAGGTCATCAAAGACGTTAGTTCAACTGTCGTAGTAATCAATGAGTGTGAAGTAAGGGTATAATTGAGAGTTTTTTAATAGAAATGTATTCATGTAGGAGTCTATCCCCCCCCCCCACCCACACAGGTCGGTTGGGACGGGCCGCCAGCGTCGTATTGGCGCGGCAGCCCCGCCTTCGCCGTTTTAGCGGGCGGGGAGAGGGAGGCGGCTGGGGCCCGCTGGCAGCTCCCAGCGCGTGTCAGCCAGCAGCTCGGGGAGGTCCGGCGGAGTGCCCGTGAGCGTGTTTTTTGCGGGCGGCAGTTCCAGGAGGCTGGTCGCCAAGGCCCTTTACACCGCGACCGCCACGACGGCAGCCCAGCGGGCGGTCCAGCCCGCACACGCCGCCGCTCGAACCCACGGCGGGGCTTCTGTCGAGCGCTCGCGGGCTAGCGCACGGATCAGCTGGCGTGCGTCGGGCCCCCACCTCCCGCCGACTTCAACTGCGACGACGACGAGTCTGCATCGGCGCGCGGCAGTTAACTCTGGGTACCGCCGGCGTTTGCGTAGCTCCGCGTGTTGGGCCGCCCGTCCTGGGTCTGTGCGTGTGCGAGGGTGAGGGCCGGCCCGGGAGATGGGGCTGATGCAAGTGGCATCGATTGCCAGCTGTTGTCCATGGTAGGCTTGGAGGCCATTGGCCACGACTTCGATGCGGCGTCCATCGGCCAACGCATTGTCCACATTCATGTCCGCCACTGCGACATTGCATGCGACGCGGGCCCCTGCCTCACGGCAGATTTGCGCCACCGCGCGCTCCAGGGTAGGTGCCCGGGCCGCCAAGACCCCGGTGGTGGCACAGGCCGCCCGGTGGTCACCCAGGGCATCGATGACGCCACCGCAGGTGCAGCGATGGGGGGCGAGGGGGAGGGGCATGCGCAATCGGCGGAGCAGCGCGATGCAGAATTGCGGGCTGGACATTCGTAGTTCTTTTTTTGCCAATTGGTGAAAACTAGTCTGGTTGGTGAACATTCAAATATATAACTGTTATCCTCTGGTTAAATGCTGGTGGGCAGCGTTGTGAACGCACGCCCGGCAAAGGGGCCCCCCTGTGAGAGCAGCAGCGCTTGGGATGCAGGTGTTAGGTTTTGGAAGAGGATCTCTTGCGCGCGCTCATCAGTTGGGATGGTGGCTACAGTACCCGTTGCCAGCCGCGGAGTGGTTCTCCTGGCTCGTCGGCGTGCGCCGGGGCTGGGCCCCCTGCGAGCACACTGTCCCACGGCGGGACGTTGTAATCATTGAGCTGTATTCAGAACTGATTCTGTCCAAGCGTTGTTTCTTGGCTGCTTCAACCCTTGCACGCTTGGCTTCATGATCATCATCACTGTCAACTGCATGAGTACGTGTTGTGGGAGAATGGCGTGGTGTCACAGGGGCTTCAACACCAACATCTGGAGCTTGTGGAACATCCATAGGAAAAGCAGGGGCTGAGGCTGAAGCTGAAGCTTGGGATTGCAGAATTGGCTCTGGAGCATGGGCCACGGTCATTTCACCTTCATCATCGAAAATTCCTCCCTCAATGGAAGGTTCAACAATCTGAACTTCTGGCTCCTCCTGAATCTCAGTCGCCTTTGGGGCAACTCGATCATGCAAAGCCATTTCTGACAATTCCTCTTCTTCTCGTACTTCTTCAAGATGTTTCTGTTTGACAGCCTCAGCATCCTCATCCACAAAAGGACTTGGTTCAATGGTACCTGTTGGACCACTGTAGCTTGCACCAATTGCAGTTTTCGTGGCTTTGGTTGGCAAAACACGTCCACCATAGCCAGGCTTGCATTCCCAACTCCAATGTGTGAAATTCAAATAGTACTTCAAATTAATGAGATTTCCAGTTGGTGTCAACTCTTCGAATGCTCCTTGTGAGAACCAAACCACGTCCATCAAAAAACAGATAGGTGTCATGAGGTTCTGATTTTCCCAGAAAGATAATTCTGCTCCATCTTGCCGTTCCCTTGCCTTCAACTTTGGAGAATCCAAGAACAGGCTCACCAAAACGACAGACCTTTCCAGTAAATTCTTTGCCATTGATAACCTCATATGGTGACATCCCTTTCGAAGGGCCAAAACGGTTACACAACCAACTTGCATGTCTCAAAGCCCATGATTAGCAAGGACTGTTTGATGAAAAGTCGATTCCAACTTGCTCACTCATGTAGCGCATCAGTGTTCCAGCAAGTGGCGTTATGCGGCCCACAACATTCTCCACAAGTCCATTTGAATGGGAGTATGGTGGTGGCGCTGCTTTGAGAGTTGGCAAACCCATCGACAAACGTGCATTGAGCACATACCTTTGCAATTGCAGTAGGGTCGGCTCACTATCACATCTAAAGCTAAGTTCAGAGTATCCAAGCAAACCAGCAAATCCTAAGAGTTCTAGCACCATCAAACTCCACTGATTCTTGCTACGCAAAGGTGTCACATGAATGTAACCGCTTGAGCTGTCAGCCATCACCAGGCTGGTGATCGTGGAGGTTTCTTTGGAATCTGCATCCTGAGGTACAGACTTGGTGTGGGCAAAATCAAATGATATGCATGGAGCGCTTGATCTCCTAGAGCCACCTGAACGCTCATGCTACTGCACCATGGAGCATAAGGAAGGTGTGTAAGGAAATGCTGTTGCTGCTCTGCAAATGAAGGCGGCGTTTCAAGCTTCACTGCATTTGGAGTCCTGGTCAACTCCTGTTGGGCACGTTCAGCTGCTGCATGGACAACTTGGAGTTCTAATGCCTGTTGATGGCTCAACAACCTTGCAAAGCAGTTCACTTTTGAACCTGAAGTGCTCAAACCGTAGTGGGTAAGGCCATCACGAAGGGCCCTCAAAGCGCTTGATTCTGAAAGTTCAACACCGTTCACAACAACCATGTCAACTGGTGAGGGTGTCACAACCAATCGCCCTTGCATAGGAACATCAGTTCCACCTTGAATTTCCCCACCACCAATTTCTAAGCCAAGCACTTCATCCTCAGGCGCTGGCAAGACGTCATCAGCAGCATCTCGACGTTCTGGGTCAGGAAACAAAGGAGGTTCCTCACCTTGAAGCTTGAAGCCCATCAGCACTGGGCCCTTTTCACCTTCAGTTCTGATTGTGAGCAGGTCTCTGGGGCCATCATAGCCGTAGACATCAGCACCTAAATTGCTTGACATTCGACCATGATGATGGTGATGATGGTGATGATGGTGATGATGGTGATGATGATGACGATGATGATGATGCTGATGATCACGTCGACCATGACAGTGTTGATGAGCATGATGATGGTGATGATGGTGATGATGGTGATGATGGTGATGATGATGATGATGATGGTGATGATGATGATGATGATGATGAAGATGCTGATGATCACGTCGACCATGACAGTGTTGATGAGCATGATGATGGTGATGATGGTGATGATGATGATGATGATGATGATGAAGATGCTGATGATCACGTCGACCATGACAGTGTTGATGAGCATGATGATGGTGATGATGGTGATGATGGTGATGATGATGATGATGAAGAAGAAGATGCTGATGATCACGTCGGCCATGACAGCATGATGATGGTGATGATGGTGATGATGATGATGATGATGCTGATGATCACGTCGACCATGACAGTGTTGATGAGCATGATGATGGTGATGATGGTGATGATGGTGATGATGGTGATGATGATGATGATGATGTGATGATGATGATGCTGATGCTGATGCTGATGATCACGTCGACCATGACAGCATGATGATGGTGATGATGGTGATGATGATGATGATGATGGTGATGATGATGATGATGATGATGATGATGAGATGAATATCATGAATGAAGGTGCATCCCGTGCACAGGCGAGTCCGGCCATCCCGTGCACCAGCGAGCCAAAATCCCGTGCACAGGCGAGGCGGTTACCCTGCAAAATGTGTCTACAAATCTCTCGGAACATGCAAGGCATCGCAAGGTATGGCAAGGAATGGCATGGCATTGTTTTTCTGCTCGGAATGCGTTTGGACCGCTGGTCCTGCAACACAGTCTTTCCTCGCTCGCCGCCTACCGGCAGCTGTTGGTTCCGGTGGCCAAATCAAATTTGCAGCAAAGAAGCGAGAAAGTTCCGCCTATGGCGTAGAAGCATTTGATGCCAAACCAGTTTCCACCCATTGGGCACATTGGATGAGTAAAGACCGGCATAATACCTCTCAGGTGTCACGTGGAAAAGTTGGACGACTGATCATTCATGACGATCAATGAAGATCAAGAACGATCAATTTGGGCCATGTTATCAAGATCTAGCAATGACTAGCAACAGCGATCAACGACCATCAACGACTCACAATGACAAGCAATGACAAGCAAGGACTGGGTGATTAGTAATGATCTATGATTATCAACCGCCATCAATGACGATCAGTGTTCTAAATCTCGCATGATTGCTCAAAGCAGATTTGGTTCCCTGCCTGCTGCCATCGCTCCAACGCTGAGCGCGACTTCGACGTTGTTCGAGCAGCCAAGGCTCGCAGAAATGGAGGCACTGAGCCCAATCCAAGCACTCGGAAGGTAACCAGGTATTGATGCACTCAAGCCAACGCCAATAGCAGCCCAAACCGAGACGAAAGCTGAAGGAACCACCAGCTCCTTGACCAAGCTTTCGAAGGCGCCTGCACTGCCACCGGACCAGCCAAAGGAGACCGAGCCATAGGAGCCCAAAGCTTTGTAGTAGCCCTCAGCATACCACAGCGACCACTTCCCGAAACATTCGACCATTGCCTCAAAGAAATCCCAGATCCCTTCACTTCGTGTGCTCAACAGTGCAAGATGGGCAAGTGACTGGTTGGACACCTGGCGCAACGGTGTAGCTTCTCCATGAGCTTCAGCATCTTCAGCTTCAGCTTTGGTTCGCTGCCATTTCTCAAACTCCACGCGGTCGACAAGCTTCATCATCTTCGAGACTCCGCCAGGTGATTCAAAAAACTTTTTCAGAACTCGTTTCACAGCCTTGTTGCCAGCAAGGCCATAGGCATGCGCAGCCTCCGAGCAAACAGCTTGAAGGGTTTCACATGTTTCACTCAATTTGCGCTATAGAATGATTTAATTTGCTTCACAAAAATTAAAGTAAGGTAAGTCACTGCAAGTCACTGTAAGTCGATGCACAAAACAAAACACGTCAAGACAGTGTCCACTGCACTGCGCCTCCAGAGAGGAAGCTTGCGCCTCGCGGCGCCAAAGTTGCACCAGCACTGGATGTTCTGAGAGATGACTTTGGAAGCGCCGTTGCAAAGTAGTGCGGTTGATAATCTCAGCCTTCAAATGAGAGAGCGCTCCACTTTTCATGAAGAGTAGGGTCTGCTTGTAGCTGGCTAAAGCAACATCCCAGTAGTTCGTGTGGTCACACTTCATCCTCACACATACAGGATACCAAGTTTCCTCCCAGCGCTTCACAACCGAATGCGACACATTGTCTGAGGATGTCAAAGAATTCAGAATTTGATGAGACTCCCGGGTGGCCTTGTCCAAGGCTGCAGACGTTGAAAAGGCCGAACGCACCGCAGCAGTGTCCTCATGATTCTCCTGATTCTCCTGGATCATGGACGGAACAGCCAAGCTTGTGGCATCCAACTTGTCGAACATGTCGCACCTGTATTTTTCTGGCGGGAATTGACCGGGAGCTGTCTGGTTGATGTTTGACTCCTTGATCAAAGCTTCGGTAAGCATGTTCCAAATGATGTCAAAGCTGGCGAGTTGCTCCATGATCGCCACCAAGAAGGCAATGGGAAGCTTACCAGCCTCTACCGCTGGCTCGATGAGGCAACTTGCAATTCTGATGCACTGCTCTATGTGAGTCCAATCTTTTAGAGGGCAATACTTGTTGGCATCCTCACCCATGACCTCATGCAAGGCACCATAGAATCCGGCAGTTTTATCATATAATAGCTCAAGATCCTTTGAATAGTTGCCAAAGCGGTACGCGATGTTGAGATGCGTCACATTTTTGCCGCTGCTGATCAGCCCAGAGTAATTGGTCAAGTTGACGAGGGCGATGGGAAGCGACACGGCCAGCTCTTGTAGCTTCTCAAGACCATCCTTCTCAGCCATCTCAGCCTCACCGCGGAGTGCAATCTGCTTCGTCACAGAGGAGTGCACTTCGAGGAAACTGAAAGGACTGACTTTTCTCCTGATAGCTACAGCACCCACATAGCTCTCTGTCTCTGGGCAAATAGAGTACAGGTGACACCAGCCGTTGCTTGGATAATAGACTGCACCCATGCAGGTCTGGTCCTGCTGACAGCCCGCGGGCTTATCATCATTCTCACACTTTGCTTGACATTCAGCCTGTGTGATCTGAGACCAGCCATCGCAGTTTCCCCCGCACTCGTCATAGGTGTACGGGAAGCCTTTGCACCTTTGATCGGTAAAATATTCCCACGGCTCTGGAGTCCAGTGGTCCCCATAGCCGCTGTAGGTGACGGTGAACCTTTCCCAATCACCTGTTGGGGGTGAATTCCAATTATACTGCTGAGCTGTCGTAATCACTGTTTGATAGTCCATCATCACGAATCGATTGAAGTAGCCGCTGTGCAAGCCAATTTTGCCGTTCCCAAGATCCACCACCTGGAACTTCTCCCACTGCCAGCCACCTTGAAGATCTGCCTTGGCCATGACGTGGGTGGAACGCATTTTCTGCGTGTCGGTCATTTGAACATACCGCCCAAACTTTTCATTGTACAAGCCAAGCATTCCCATTCCAACGTCCACTACTCGGAACCTTTCATCATCGCAGGAGTCACACAAATCATCTGCTCCTTGTTGATGCGTGGTGACCAAGTCGGCACTATCGATGTTGATCATTTTCATAAAGCGCTGGTGCCAGGGGTTGTAGAACGACACCTTCTGGGACATCAACCAAGGCTTGCAGCTAGCTCCTTTTGGAAAGTAGAGATACGGACAATCATCTTTCTGATAGGACTCGGTTTTCACAAGAAACTTCTCCCATGTGTGGGAGCTCTGCAACTGGTCAAAGCCCATAGGACCGAGGACAACCAGTGCTGAGCCGTCCATCTTCACAAAATGCTGAAAGTGTGGATTGTGGAGAGCAACGTTTGGAGCGTAGTCCACCAAGGTAAAGTGCTCGCCGCCGCTGGCATCGCAGTTGAGTTCACCTGCATCACGAAGTCCACCGGCCCGGATAAAGCCCTGAGCATCCATTGCGAGGAAACGGTTGTGCTCAATGTTGTGAAGAGCAATATTTCCATTGCCCGCATCCACCACTTCGAATCTCTCCCATGTCCAGCCATTTGGCAAGTTCGGTGGGACCGAGTATTCCCAACCTGGAAAGGTGTGTCTTGGAATGACAGCTGATGCATCTGCCCAACCACCTTCTTTGACCCGAATATAGCGCTCATGATATGTGTTGTACAAACCAATGGTCTTGCCAATGATATCAGCTTTGCAGCTTGCTCCATGCGAAGTGTGGAGACTAGGACATGGCCTGGTGTAGGTTTGATGCAGCACTCGAAAATCATACTTTGATACATCACTTTGTGGTCCTCCAATCCCCAAACCTGCGGTGATCGCCTCAACCGGGCCAACTTTAATGGCTGAGAACTCGTTGATGATGAACCGCTCGTTGTGAGCACTCCAAATCGCATGGCCATACGGAGTCGACTGAAAGCTGAATCTCCCTCCTGCCGGGAGCCGTGCCCACTCAAATTCACTCAGGACTTCACTCACCTGCAGAGATCCACCGTTCATGATGAGGTACCGGTTCCATTCGGTGTTGTGTAAGGCATGTGTGCCCGAGCCAGTGCCCTAGGTGGAAGCGCACTCAAAACAATCTGGGGATACCTGGGGACAATGGACATGAACCCATGGCTTTCTTATGGTTTCCTGAACTTTCTCAACGAAAGCGCCGTAAAGTCATTTTTTCCCAAGCGATATGCAACCCAGGTCTGAACTACACGTCAGCAGCAGCAGGCCCTGAGTTGGTTGTTTATTTCATTTTTGGGTTAACAATTTCCACTGATCTCGGTTTTCAGCAATTCGTCAAAGGAGATGCATAAAACGAGTGGTATATATATATACTTGTGGAGGAAAAATTCTTAAGTTCCACAATTGCGAAACGTTGGTAGAAAGGATGTGAAAATTCTCCTCGTAGGGGAGGAGAGTTCCTGAAATGGTGAACTCCGTGTGAGGCTTCGGATAGTACTAACTCAGGCCAATGGGCGCGCGGTGCGCCTCTACGGAATGGAGATGAAATGGTAGAAAGAGAGGAATTAAAGCAAATATGGAATTCTGGAAGAATAAGATGTCTAAGGATATGACCAACGTGTTTGATTATCGAATCAGTGATTAGTATACAAGATGGAACACATGAAGGTAATATGGGGAGTAGGTATTCGTTGGAGCAAGGAGAGTCAAAGGTTTGGAGAACTCGGTGATAATAAGGATTTTCAGTTTGGAATGTCTGGCGGAGAGCTTTATAGTGAAGGGAATCAATTTTTGCTATTTCGGCTGGAGAGCAAATTTGTGATTCTGAAGCACGGGGTAAAAACTCGGAGTTTAAATTTCTGGGAAATCATTGGGTGGCAAAAAAGGCCAAGAGATTTGAAGGCAGAGGATGCTTGCGAGCATCTGAAGCTTACATCCGGGATGGAGGAAGGTGCAATAAAAGTGCCTATAGGTATTTAGCACTCTTTAGCGCGGGAGGGTCAAAAGGATTGGGATCTGGAGTCGAAAAAAAGGGTCAAAAGGGGCAATTACGTGCAATTACAATGAGATTGCGCGGCAGAGAGAAACTGAAATGGGGAGAGAGGAATAAACGGAATAGAGTTGAATCGAGGCAAAGGAGTTGACACTTGGATCCATTTGTGCCATTTAAGAGGAAGCCGATACTCGCAGCAAGATGCTGGAAACGGAGGAGACGAGAGAATGAGAACAGTATCGTCAGCGTTTCGACGTCTGCGAATGGATTCTTGAAGGAGCAAGTCTAGGGGCGATAGGAGAAGATTTCCTGGAATAGAGAATTTAGATCTGAAGTGAGAGCAGAGAGAACAATGATAAAGAGGAAAGGGCCAAGCGGACACCCTTGACGGATTCCCCTGTGGAGAATGTGATGAGGGGAGTCTGAGAAAAATTCAGAAACAAAGAATTTGGCATTATGATATAATGCCATAATGGCATGAATCAATATTGGGGGAATGCCGTATCGACGTAGAGCTGCGGCAAGATGTTGATGGCCAATAGAGTCAAAGGCTTGTGACCAATCGAGGAAGAGGCTGTATAGAGACGTATAGTGCCTTTGCGGAAAAGAAAAATGGAAGTGGAAAAGGGGCGATTTGGCGGAAACCACATTGTTGGGGCTGGAGATATTGATCAATAGCGTGTGTGGAGTTTGGGCGCGCATGTATGCGTAATCGTGTTTGCGAAGTATTTTGCTGGTGTTGCAGTGGCATTCAAGTTTTTGGCGGTTTATCGGTGGTCTTTGCTTGTGGGTGTCTTGGTATTTCAATGGTGCGTTGCATCTGAGCGCAGACATAATACATCATATCAAACAATCCTGCACACTTGTGGCCCATGACATCTCCAGCGTTTTCGTGTCCTTGCCGGTGAAGCCTAAGAAAAGGAAAAGGCAGCTTGCGTATGAATAAAGTACACAAGTGCAAATCTCATCCGAAACAAAAAATGAAATACCGCCAAAGCCGATTCTGCATTTTCAAGGGAAATTGTGATTTCTGGTGCGCGTTTTCGATTTGATTGAATAAGTCAGGTTTTCTGCATTTTTTTCCGCATTCTCTTGGCAGCCGGCGTGCTGAAGTGCAATTTACATCTATAGGGATATATGGGGCATGCTCCCTCTTTTCTTTAAGTTCTGTAGTCTTGGCACTGTTTCACTGGCTTCACGATGATGTTTAGGTAATGTATGGTCATATTTTGTTGGTGTCTTCTGGATCTGGATTCCTTCTCTAGTTCGAGAAACTGAGAGAAGTTTTTGCTTAAGATTCATCATGTTGGTACTGGGATCTTTCTGGCTGTGTGTATATATATATATACACATCATATTTGTATAATATCTTTTGTGTCTACCTAATTTGACAGGGGAACGGTGGCAGTTTGCTACCCGGGATGTCTTAAGATATTTGAATGCTTTCCGTGGTTTGCCGTGCTGGTTTGCAGGAAAGTTGACGATTTGTAGGACAAGTTGAGGATTTGCAGGAAATCTGAGGATTTACGTTGGATTGTAGGAACATTTGAAGGTTTGCAGGATTTGAAGTGAACAATGATGAAAAAATATTTATAAATAAATAAATAAGTCATCGCACTTTTTGAATGAATATTCAACAAAAAATGAAACAACTTATATGAAAAGGGTTTAAGTCGGGACAGCGTGAGATATTTGATTCGGGTCATGAAAGTTCTTTGTATAAAATAGCTACATTGATGGTGTTTTTCTAACTTGGTACCTGGCCATACCCTCGGCATCAAGAAGTCATCATTTACCATCCGTTTACGGACATCTACAGTCCACTACAACAGTCCAAATGATCCACTACGAGAATCCACTTCACTACGTCACATTGCGTCAATGTCACAAGTGCTTCCAAGACACCACCAGCTTGAAGCGCTCAGCTCTGGCCTCATCTGCAAGGTTGTCGTTCCCGCCCCAGGAGTGTCCAACCTGACACCCTTGGATACGCAACCACCTGCCCTCCTTTAGGCCGCGAATTGCAATGTATGATCCTGCTGGAGGAAGTTGAAAGCCTGGCACCAAAGACAATTTGGAAGCCATGGTCCCTTCAACCACATGTTCGTAAAATATGTGCGTGAGAAACAGATGTGTGCAAAAAAATAGTGGAAATAAGATATGTAGGCAAGGGTATGTGTATGCAAAACAGATGTGTATAAGACATATGCATGTAAGGCATGCATTTATGTGTATATTATATTAAATCAAATTATACTATATTATATTATATTATGTTATATTTTATATTTTATATTATATTTTATGTTATTTTATTGTATTATATTCTAGTATGCTTTATATTTTATTATATTATATTGTGTTATATGTTATTGTATTGTATTATATAAAATTAAATGTTATATTGTATCATATTTTATTGTATTATATTGTATTATTTTATGTTATATTATGTTTTGTTATATTATATTATATTATTTTATATTATACTATATATATTTTATATTATATTATAAAATCTTATATTATATTATATTATACTATATAATATTATATTATATCATATTATATTATATTAAATTATATATATTATATTATATATTATATTATATATTATATTCAATATTATATAAAAATTAAATTAAATTATATTATATTATATAATATATTATATATTATATTATATATTATATTCAATATTATATAAAAATTAAATTAAATTATATTATATATACATATACATATACATATACATATACATATATACGTGCAAAACACACTGAAGTATGTGAATGTGTGCAAAACATACGTATGTAATGAAACAAATGTATGTTTAGGTTTGTACGGTTGCTGCGTATACTGAACAAACAATGACTCATCATTTTTTTGTATGTATGTTAATGCGTTTTGATGCGTCTTGATCCTAGTGACTTGGTTTCGCGTTTGTGAGGTTCATCAGCTCTGTTCCCTGAGAACACACTACTTCCTGGCCCTCCGGACTCCGCCCCTCCCAAACAAAAGGCCACGTCTACCGCTGCCTGATGTCCCTCCAGCGTTCTCAGATGTTGCAATGCCGCTTTCCGAAATTGCTTCACTGTGAATTTTTGCCCCTCTAGCACAGAAGGAAACGAAGGAAACGAAGAGCACAGAGATGACTCTCTGCATTTGCCTCAAGCAGCAGCATGGTACAAGCTTTCGTTATTTCTGTTTCTTCACTTCGCTAAGCTTTCCAGCAACTTTCACAACTTTCTGGCGGCAACTTTCTGCATCACCTGAAACATCAAGAAGCACCAAGAAATCATGTCTTTCCAAGTCCTGAGGCAAGTTGCTTCATTGCAGTGTTTGAAGAATAGACGATCTTGCACGCAAGACGCGGTGATTGAAAGGCTCTGGCTGCGGATGTGACATAACGTGGAAATATCTCCCTGATGCCACATGCGCTAGATCTTGCAGTACCATCCACTCATGCTGCACAACCGGAAAGCAACAGTTTGACTCAACTTTCACTACGGCTCAAAGGGCCCCTGCGGCCGCGGACAATCCAAGGTTCAATGCGCAAGGCCATATGCGGGGGTTGACATCGGAATGGTTGTTTTCACTCCGGTCACCTTTTGTTTCTGTACTGCCCACGCTCATGCGGCCTGTGAGATCTATCCTGGCATGCAGTCTTTGCACTTCCTAAATTTGGCTCTTTTCACCGGCATGTGACCGCAGTCGCTACGGTGGTAGCACGAGCCACTCTTGAAAATCCAAACCTCTTCCGGCGCTTTGGCCTCATGGAGGTCTTTCTGCAGCGCTCGGTATGCGTTCACGTAGTTCTCGTTCTCACGCATCAGCTTGAGGTTCATCTTCTCCAAATCTTCGGCTGTCATCTTCAGCTCACTCGCTTCTCATTCTGGCGGATCTCGTCGAAGTCCAACATCTCCTGCATAGTCGGCGGGGTGATAGGACTTTGATTCGCGCGAAGAATCAGATCATCGCACTTCTCCTTGTACTCGTTGCGGGACCTCAAGGCGCTCCAGGCGCTGAGGGCGCTGAAGGCGCTGAAGGCGCTGAAGGCGCTGAGGGCGCTGAGGGCGCTGAGGGCGCTGAAGGCGCTAAAACCGGTGAAAACGCTGAAGGCGCTGAGAACGCTCAAGGCGCTGAAGGTGCTCAAGGCGCTGAAGGCGCTCAAGGCGCTGAGGGCGCTGAAGGCGCTGAAGGCGCTGAGGGCGCTGAGGGCGCTGAGGGCGCTGAGGGCGCTGAGGGCGCTGGAGGCGCTGGAGGCGCTGAAGGCGCTGAGGCCGCTGAGGGCGCTGAAGGCGCTGAGGGTGCTGAAGGCGCTGAGGGCGCTGAAGGCGCTGAGGGTGGCCCTGAGGGCGCTGGAGGCGCGCTGAGGGCGCTGAAGGCGCTGAAGGCGATGGATGCGCTGAAGGGCGCTGAAGGCGCTGAAGGCGCTGGAGGCGCTGAGGGCGCTGAAGGCGGAGGGGCTGAGGGCGCTGAAGGCGCTGAGGGCGCTGAAGGTGCGGAAGGCGCACAATCAAAGGCGCTGAAGGCGCTGGAGGCGCTGGAGCTGGAGGCGCTGAGGGCGCTGAAGGCGCTGGAGGCGCTGAGGGCGCTGGAGCTGGAGGCGCTGAGGGCGCTGAAGGCGCTGAGGCGCTGAAGGTGCCTGAGGGCGCTGGAGGCGCTGAAGGCGCTGAGGGCGCTGAGGGCGCTGCGCTGAAGGCGTCAAGGCGCTGAGGGCGCTGAAGGCGCTGAAGGCGCTGAAGGCGCTGAGGGCGCTGAGGGCGCTGAAGGCGCTGAAGGCGCTGGAGGCGCTGAGGGCGGAGGCGCTGAAGGCGCTGAGGGCGCTGAAGGCGCTGAGGGCGCGCTGAGGGCGCGCTGAAGGCGCTGAATCAAGGCGCTGAGGACGCTGAAGGCGCTGAGGACGCTGAGAGCGCTGAAGGCGCTGAAGGCGCTGAAGGTGCTGGAGGCGCTGAGGGCGCTGAAGGCGCTGAAGGCGCTGGAGGCGCTGAGGGCGCTGAAGGCGCTGAAGGCGCTGGAGGCGCTGAGGGCGGAGGCGCTGAAGGCGCTGAGGGCGCTGAAGGCGTTCGAGATAGTAGAGGCGCTAGCGGTGCTCTTCTTTATCAAGCCGATCTGCTTGATTCTCTTCCTCATATTGCGTTTCTTGGCCTTCGCTGCTCATGTTATACTTCTTGATGTTCGAAGATGTTATGCCATATGCTCTTTGGTCTTGTCTTCATAATGCTACGTTGCTTGATCTTGTCTACCTCATGCTACGCTGCTTGACCTTCCCTGCCTCATGATGCTTGATGTCTTCTTCGCCACGTTATTCTTCTTGATCTTGTCTTCATGTTTTTACGCTGCTTGATCTTCTCTACATCAAGCTACACTGTTTGCCTTTAACAAAGTCATGTTTTGCTGCTTGGTCTTCTCTGTATCATGTTAGGCTGCCAGATCTTGTCTTATGATGCCAGGCTGATAGATCTTATCTACTTCATGCTGCGCGGCTTCACTCATGTCAAACTGCTTGATGTCGTGTACATCAGGTTATGCTATTTGATCTGTTCTTCATGATGCTAGGCTGCTTGGTCTTCCCTATCTCCTGTGACGCTGCTGGACCTTGCCACCTCATGTCAAGCTGCTTGATGTCCCCTACATCATGTTATCCTTTTTGTTTTTTTCAAGCTGCTGCATTGTTTGATCTTATCCTCCTCATGCTACGCTGCTTCACCACCGGCCCTACCTCCTGTTGCTTGGTGTTTTCGACATCAGATCTTTGATTTTTGATAGTTTGATCTTGCCTTGGCGATGCTACACTGCTCGACCTTGACTACCTCACGTTGTGCTGGCTGATGTCCCCTGCATCAGGTAGTGCTGTTTGATCTGGTCTGCATGGTGCTAGGCTGCTTGATCCTCTCCGCCTCATGCTGCCGCTTGATCTCCCCTGCGTCATGTTATGCTGTTTGATCTTCTCTAAATCAGGTTATGCTACTCGATCTGGCCTTCATAATGCCACACTGTTTGATTGTCTCTACCTCATGCTACGCTGCTGAACCTTCCCTACCGTATGTTATGTTTCTTGGTGTTCCCTGTCTCATGTTATGCTGCTTGATCTTGTCATCAAGACGGTACGCCCGGTACGCTGCTTGATCTTTTATACCTCATGCTACAATCTTGACCTTCCTTTGTTATGTTGCTTGTGTTCTCTATATATTGTTGAGTTTTTTGTCTGGCCTTCATGCTGCTACGCAGCTTGACCTTCTCTACCTCTTGTTAGGCTTCTTGGGCTTCCCTACCTCATGTGATGCTGCTTAATGTGCTGTGTATCATACTGTGCTATTCGTTCTTGCCCTCATGATGCTACTCTGCATGATTCCCTACGTCAAACTACGCTGCTTGACCTTCCCTAACTGATGTTATGCTGCTTATGGTCTTGACTTTGGTCTTGTCTTCATGATGCTACCCTCCTTGGTCTTCTCTACATCATGCCTTGCTACACAGCGAATGAATTTCATCAGCATGGGTTTTAGCACCCAAAACTATTCTAGGAGCACAAGTTTTTCGTGTTTGGCATAAGCAGCGTCACTAGTTGCCATTTTCTGGTTTCAGCTATAAAAAAGCGCTGGCGAGGTGAGGCGCCCAAAATTGCAGATTCTGTGACGGAACTGATGGTCAAAAGACAACAACTCACTTTCATCAAGCAGAAACCAACTCACTTTCATATATTTTTACCTCGCATGGCAGCGGTGGCGAGTAGAGCTGTCCAGCGGGAAGTCCAAGCCAGAGCAGCCGATCGACGTAGAGACGGTGGAGTTGATGATTTTGATTCCTTTTGTTCTTTACCGCGAAATTTCACTCATTGTCCTCATCTGTGATTTTTCATGAATGTGTCCTGCAAAACCGATCGCATGAATTGCACCAGCCCAGCTGAGTAGTAGTTGGAGATGCGAAACCGAAAGGTGCAGCACGGACCTTTTTGCTTGATCCACAGGGCCTACAGTATTCAATGCGTTTTGCATGAACTGTCCATGACAAATGTGAGAAATCTACAAGTGCAAATCCATGAAGTGTCATCCTCGCGCAGGGGCCATGCATGGACATGAGTGCTCTGCCAAATGTTTCAGACTCCTCCTTGGGAATGGGGAGTCTTCAGCTTCCACTTCCACTCCATTTTGGCACGGCTGCTGCGCACAGACTTCAATGGATATTCCCATTTGGGATTTCTTTGGACCTAGTGGCATTATGGTAACGGGGAGTTGCCACTATTCCCCGGCATGAAAAAGTTTGCCTTTTGGCAAAGATGGCATTCTGGTTACGGGGAGTTACCATCGTTCCCCGGCAAAATTTCCTTTGGACCTAAGTTGCATTATAGGCCATCTCTCTGAGTTGGTTCACATACTGTTGGTATCTCTCTGACAGATTGGCGTCGGTCTCAGCATGGCGGTTGACCAGAGTTTGAAGGTCAGCAGCTAGTGCATAGAAAGGGTGTTGTTTCAGCTCTACTGGCACTGGCTGATGTTGATTTACCAAATCCAAAGCTTGCATCACACCCCTTTGGAAAACAGCTGCATCACTCCATCGCTCTCTGCGTTTCAGCTCATTTCGGAATGTCATGGTGACCTGTGTGATTTCTGGAGTATCTTCTGGATTGACTGCTGGGTCATTTTCACGGCTTTCTTCTTCTCCAGCTTCACTCACAACTTGATCCATATCTGTATCGTCACCTCCATGGACAATCCCTTGGTTCATCTTGGTTCTGGGTCCTCACAACGTTCAAGTAACGTTGCATCCCCATTGTTCTTGCAGCTATCAAATTTGCACGTTCCAACGTGTACATCTGTTGACGTTGGAATGGTGTGAGGTTATGGAAATTGGTATAACCTCCCATGTTGATCAACCCCCATTGGACATTTTCTGATGAATCTGACACCATCTCGATCTCGCCAGAGAGTTCTGTGTGTCCTGCACGCAGACGTCTGGGATCTGTTTCCATCTGTGCAACTTTCTTTTCCAGAATTGTCACAGCTGAAGGCATGATGGCATACTGCGTGTAAACGTGATCGAAGCTTGTGTAGGCGTCACTTGCTCTTTCGCAAACCCATCCCCAGAAAGCTAACACTGCCAAAATCAAAATGCTGCACATCATGATGAACATGCAGGAGTAACCCTCACATTGAACATGATTGGGTTCGATACTGCGTTGGGCGTTGGCTCCATAAATGTCGCTGTCACCAAGGGGCATGGCTGTTGCTCCCTGCAAAGGCTCAAGGCCCATGAAAACAATCACTCTCGCAATGTTCTTGGCAAGTGCATTGATTTGCTTTCCGCTGGAATACTATTGCAATTGCATCTCATACTCCTCCTGGCCAATGGTTTGACCACCCTCTGCACGCGTCATTCCAATGCAATGCAGTAACATCTGAATGCGTTTGCTTGCTAAAGGTTTGGTCCCAGCATCGGCAACATTCCACAAAGTTGGTACCTGTGTCAGTTGTACTTTACCTTCATGCACAACTTGCTGAATCCACAAAAGTTTCCCTGACACATGTTTCAACCGACCTGCTCCTTGACGCATGGCAACTTGTCTTGCAGAAGAGGAGTCAACCAATAGATGGTGTTCAACCTGACAGCCAGTGAGAAATTCAATGCAACGACGCAAGTAGATTCCATCGCAAAGTGCAGAAACCATGGAGTGCAACTCACTCCCACATGAGCTTAAGCTCACCACACGTTGAGTTCTGCTGCTTGCAGAAAGAAATCAACCATTCAATGTATGAACCCCACAGCTTGTCGATCTTCGATGTTGTTTGTTTCCACTCCAGTCTGAATCACTGAATGTTTCAATCACCCAAAAACGCTCAGAGCTTTTCCATTTTCCTTGACCTCCAATTGGCTTTTCCAAAACCATGCAAAAGTCACGTGTTGTTTTCAAATAACCAATCACGTTTCGAAGCCTAGAGATTGCTGTCAAAGTTGGACGGCTCATTGCACTGCTGAATTCCTTGGCAACAAAAAGTAGGTCTGGGCGGTCTCTTGCAAGGTAAAGGAGGGTGCCTATCACAGCTCGAAAAGCATGGGCATCACGTTGACCAACTTCCTCACTGACATCCTCTGTTTGGATTGAGGCGTCACAAGCAATTGTTTGGGGTCTGGTTTTTCCAAAGTTCTCCTCGAACAACCCAATCACCTTTGAGGCTTTTGTACCTGGAATGAGAGCCAGTCCTTCTTCCAACCTCTTGATTCTGCGTTTCAAGAAAGTGATCTCGCTTCCAATGCCCTGCAGCTGTGAATGGCTTATGTTGTAGTGCTCCTTGAGCTTCTTCAGGAAAACATTTTCCCAATACGAACCATCACTGCAAAACATGACATCATCATATGAACCATCACGCAACAATGACTGTTCTTTGCCATGCATGGTTGCTCAATGCACCAATGCATGTCCAAGTGCTTGTTGAGAAAGTCCCTAAAACTCCAGTACCACATCTTTGCTCCTAGGCGTTGGCCTGGTACGTCCTTCTTCACTCGGTACAACTTGTTGTGTAAGCTGACAGCCATTGGTTTCTCTTGATCAACCATGAGGAATGCGTCCTTGATGATCCTTGATGTCAACCGTTCCCAAAACCACAGAATGCTTTCCAGTTTGCTGTTCAGTTGAAGTTGCGTCACCCAACCTTTGCAAGTAGATCATAGGCAGAATGTTAAGGATATGTGTGCTTGTAGCGGGTGAGTAGGTGTCACTGCGGCGTTCCAAATCGAGAATTCTCTTGCAACTAGCCTTGATCGTCTCAGCCATCTCTTGTATGAAATCCCATCCTTGGAAGTGAAGTCTTTGAGTCTCCAGTCGTCGTAGGCAAACTTCGTTGTAAGATGTTCCTCCTTCGTGAGTTGTTCTGCAGTCACCTCTTCCAGCACATTCATTCCACAAAGTCTAACAAGCTCTACCATGTCAGCTAAACGATCAATCCATGGTTCAGGCGCTTCTGGTTGCCTGTCAATGGGGCAGTCTGACCATAGCTCCTTTGGAATTTCACCCAAAGAATTTTCTCCTGCATCATCATCTTTCCAACCGTCTTCAACTTCATGGTCATCAAGACGTAGTTCACTGTCGTAGTCATCCATGGTGTGGTAGGTCTGATTGGAAATTTTGACTGCTCTAATCATTGAACTGTATTCAGAACTGATTCTGTCCAAGCGTTGTTTCTTGGCTGCTTCAACCTTTGCACGCTTGGCTTCATGATCATCATCACTGTCAACTGCATGAGTACGTGATGTGGGAGAATGGCGTGGTGTCACAGGGGCTTCAACACCAACATCTGGAGCTTGTGGAACATCCATAGGAAAAGCAGGGGCTGAGGCTGAAGCTGAAGCTTGGGATTGCAGAATTGGCTCTGGAGCATGGGCCACGGTCATTTCACCTTCATCATCGAAATTCCTCCCTCAATGGAGGGTTCAACAATCTGAACTTCTGGCTCTTCCTGAATCTCAATCGCCTTTGGGGCAACTCGATCATGCAAAGCCATTTCTGACAATTCCTCTTCTTCTCGTACTTTTTCAAGATGTTTCTGTTTGACAGCTTCTGCATCCTCATCCACAAAAGGACTTGGTTCAATGGTACCTGTTGGGCCACTGTAGCTTGCACCAATTGCAGCTTTCGTTGCTTTGGTTGGCAAAACACGTCCACCATAGCCAGGCTTGCATTCCCAACTCCAGTGTGTGAAATTCAAATAGTACTTCAAATGAGATTTCCAGTTGGTGTCAACTCTTCGAATGCTCCTTGTGAGAACCAAACCACGTCCATCAAAAAGCAAAAAGGTGTCATGAGGTTCTGATTTTCCCAGAAAGATCATTCTGCTCCATCTTGCCGTTCCCTTGCCTTCAACTTTGGAGAATCCAAAAACAGGCTCACCAAAACGACAGACCTTTCCAGTGAATTCTTTGCCATTGATAACCTCATATGGTGACATCGCTTTCGAAGGGCCAAAACGGTTACACAACCAACTTGCATGTCTCAAAGCCCATGACCACCAAGGACTGTTTGATGAAAAGTCGATTCCAACTTGCTCACTCATGTAGCGCATCAGTGTTCCAGCAAGTGGCTTTATGCGGCCCACAACATTCTCCACAAGTCCATTTGAATGGGAGTATGGTGGTGGCGCTGCTTTGAGAGTTGGCAAACCCATCGACAAACGTGCATTGATCACATACCTTTGCAATTGCAGTAGGGTCGGCTCACTATCACATCTAAAGCTAAGTTCAGAGTATCCAAGCAAACCAGCAAATCCTAAGAGTTCTTGCACCATCAAACTCCACTGATTCTTGCTACGCAAAGGTGTCACATGAATGTAACCGCTTGAGCTGTCAGCCATCACCAGGCTGGTGATCGTGGAGGTTTATTTGGAATCTGCATCCTGCGGTACAGACTTGTAGGCAAAATCAAATGATATGCATGGAGTGCTTGATCTCCTAGAGCCACCTGAACGCTCATGTTTGTCACTTCGAGCTCTAAAACAAACACAGCTACTGCACCATGGAGCATAAGGAAGGTGTGTAAGGAAGTGCTGTTGCTGCTCTGCAAATGAAGGCGGCGTTTCAAGTTTCACTGCAATTGGAGTCCTGGTCAACTCCTGTTGGGCACGTTCAGCTGCTGCATGGACAATTTGGAGTTCTAATGCCCGTTAGTGGTTCAACAACCTTGCAAAGCATTTCACTTTTGAACCTGAAGTGCTCAAACCGTAGTGGGTAAGGCCAACACGAAGGGCCCTCAAAGAGCTTGATTCTGAAAGTTCAACGCCGTTCACAACAACCATGTCAACTGGTGAGGGTGTCACAACCAATCGCCCTTGCATAGGAACATCAGTTCCACCTTGGATTTCCCCACCACCAATTTCTAAGCCAAACACTTCATCCTCAGGCGCTTGCAAGACGTCATCAGCAGCATCTCGACGTTCTGGGTCAGGAAACAACGGAGGTTCCTCACCTTGAAGCTTGAAGCCCATCAGCACTGGGCCCTTTTCACCTTCAGTTATGATTGTGAGCAGGTTTCTGGGGCCATCATAGCCGTAGACATCAGCACCTAAATCAATCAAACCTTCCAATGGCTCACACAACTCCAAAACATACCATTCACCATGATCACGTAGGAGGGTTGTTCGAGCAAGATTGCCAAACAACTGGCATGATGGCGTCCAACACCACAGTTGCATTCCAACCAGTTGGACCAAAACGCAAATCTGGAGTCACATCGGCTTTCCCTGCACAAATTGAAGCAGGCTGTTGCATGTCAGTTTCATTGGATGCTTCATTGGTTACTCTTATCCAACCCTTCACAACCATGGATTTGTTTTGAAGTTCAATTGGTACTTTCACTCCGGCAGAATGGACAAGTGTTTGCTCACAAGGGTCAATTCCCCACCCAGTTTCCAACATCTTACCATAGCAAAGAATAGGTTGATGAACTTGCCGTTTTGATCCATCAGTTTTACTTCCACATCACGCATGTTTTCAACAAGAATGATGCGACCTTGTGCATCATGCAGCTTTGCAACCTCACCTGATGTTTTCTGACCTGACCTTGCCAACGTTGAAGGAAAAACGGCTGCATCTGCACCACTGTCTAAAAGGATTGAGTGCATGTCTCCTTCATCAGGCATTTCAGTTACAACTGCACGCACATCGCCATGTTGGTTTGAAACTTCATCCTCATCATCACCAAGGTAAAAGCGCAATGCCCTCACAGAACTGACATTTGAGTTTGGTGAAGTGGGAAGACTCAAACGCAAATCAAAAACAAACTGCTCTTGATCAGCTTCTGCATGTTCATTCAACTCAGAAATTCGTGAAACTCGATATTGGGTAGCTCGATTTGGAGGAGATTGTTGGGTCTGAGGCTGCTGACCAGAATGTTGACTTGAGTTTTGACCTTGATCTGGTTGACCTTGGCCTCCATGAGAGACATTCTGAACGTTTCGAACACTCTGATTCCGGCAACAGTCACGCGCATAGTGCCCTCACTTTCCACAGACATAGCATGATTTGTCTCCTTTTCCACCCTTCTTGCCCTGGTTTGGCACTGATCCAGACTTGCCTCCACCATCATAGCTGGAGTTTTTGCCTGTTCCTTTGTCCTTCCTCTTTGACTTTGACTTGCCTTTTGCATTGCCCTTGTCAGTTTTACTCTTTCCTTTGCCTCCTTTTCCACGTCCACGACCTTCAATGCGGTCAATCTCCATTGGCACAGTGTCA